AAATAAGTACATACATGTGAGCCTGCTCTGAATTACTTTGATGGCCACTTGTCTAAGACAATCGCCCCAGTACAAATGACCACTCCCCAACTACCCATAGTTTTTTTTATTTTTATTGTATTACAATGCCACTGTCTAAGATGCCCACAATATGTCTAAGACAACTACTGTTGTCCTCGACATTGGATGGCCTGCAAAGACAATTTCGACTGCACATGATGCGTGCATGAATTGTCCGTCTGGGCCTGGTGTTCCTCTTTTTGACACTGTGCTGCCTTCTTGTCTTTGACAGCTTTTTTTTTTTGTTGGAGAAAAACAAAACAATACCAAGAAGAAGAAAAAACAAAACAAAAAACAACTCCCAACTGCTTGTCCTTTTCGGCGCCGCTTCTTCTTTTCTCTGGGTTCTCTCTTGACTCGTGACGCGCTGCCGTGCGGGGGCTCTGGTGGTGGAGCCAGATCTAGAGGTTTTGGGGGTGTGAACTGAAGCGAGGAGGAGAAGGAACATTTTTGTGCCGCTGACTTGTCCCGGTTTGATTTGCTGGTTTAGCTCTCTCTCTCTCTCTCTCTCTCTCTCTCCCTCTTTCTTTCTCTCTCTCTCTCCCTCTGCGTTCTGTGTGTCTCTCCCCAATTTAAAAAAATCATGTTTATTTGTTTGGTTCTTTACCCATCCTTCCATCCTCTCCCGATCCTACACACTTTGGTATGTGCTCCCCCCCCCTCTCCCTCCTTTTTTTCACTATACCAAGTTGTGTTCTGCTTTTCTTGTGTTTGTATTGTTCTCAAGATAATTTTTGTTATTTTCTGTCTGTTTTTTTTGTTTATTGTATGTGTAGGATTGGAGTGTGTGTGTGGTGGGGGTGTAAGGGTACTTTTTGGTCTCAGGACAGGTAGTAATGAACGGCTGGTGTGATCTTCTTCGTCTCCTTTGTGCTAAACGACTTCGACCTCTTCTGACAGTAATACATGGAGTAATACACACTCTCTGACTGGGGTTTTTAGTGTGTTGTGATGTGGTCTCCTTCTTGTTCTTCTTTTTTGTTTGGTCATTGATGATGGTCCAATCCTGGTTTGATGAAACGTTGCGGTTGTTGTCACTGTCAGCAAACGATAACTCAACAACGGATCCTTGTGGGTGATTGGAGGGTTCTCTAGTGTGGTTTGCTCTATCTTTCATGTCAAACAACTGTCGTCCTTATCTCGCCTCCTCTTTCTTTGCGTATTTGTTACTAACTCTCTTGTACTTGTAGCAGGTGGTTGGCGGGTGCTGTGGTGTGGTTTGCTCTTTCTTTCCTATCAAACACCTATCGTCTTGATCTCTCCTCCTTTTTGGGTTTGTTACTCTCTTGTAACACCTCTAATCTTCGACATTTATATGACCTAATTGTGTTTCAAATGCCGTAAGACTAAAAACA